GGGGGGGTTGCTCGCATCAGATGAATGTTAGGTAAAATCTGCTGGGTTACATCACCTCTCAGTGTAATGTATGGAGCTTCATTGTGACTGAGTCTGCCTCCTATTGGGTGCTCGGTGATGGGAGGACTGGATAAATAGCAGGGGAGATGCTGGTGAGGACGAGATGAGGAGCAGCAGAGGAAGTGGGAGGATCGAGGCTCAAAAGTCAATGCAACTGGACTGCATCTCAACTCTCTCTCACTCCACACTTTCTACGTGCTGCAAGTTTTCAAACCGGCATCTGCTGCATTCAGGTTTAAAAGAAGAAGGACCCTTCATTTTCCGCCGCTTAATTGACTGCTTCCGACCAAGATGATGATCCTTATCGCGGAGTTCTTCGTGGTGATTCTCAAGGTGCTCTGGGCTTTTGTAACAGCCGGCTGTAAATGGGTGGTGCGACCAAAGGAGAAGAGTGTGGCCGGACAGGTGTGCGTAATCACCGGGGCTGGAAGTGGCCTAGGACGGCTCTTCGCCAAAGAGTTTGCCCGGAGAAGAGCCATCCTGGTGCTCTGGGACATTAACAGCCAGAGCAATGAGGAAACAGCCGAGATGGTGAGGCAGATTTATCACGAGCTGGACACTCCCATCACCAAAGACGGTAAGAAATTAGGATGTTATCAGTTTTTAAAGCATGTTCTGAGAGGTCGAATTGTGTTTGCAGTGTGAAAAATCATAATAGTTGTGTACAAATATGACGGTGTGTGCAATATTTCAGTGTGTTCAGTCTACAGATATACCACAAGTCTTAAACACTGTTAAAATCACCTTTTTTTTTATTGCTCAAAATTCCAGAAAAGTGACATCTTAATCTCTCTAAAACTCAAACATGTTCAGTGAAACTAGGTCAAATTCCTTTTGGCTTATGCAGTGTGGAAAACATATTTCAAGGAGAGTAGTTGTAGTATTTCTGTACACTGAAATGTTGCACACTGTCAGATTGTTAAGGCTAAACAAACTGTTAAAATGACCTTTTATGTTGCCCAAAATTGCTGAAAAGTGACTTCCTAATCCCTCTAAAATCAATCAGGTACGCACTCAGAAATCACCAATACTTCCTAATCTTAAACCCATGTAATGTCCCTAAAATATGTCACAAAATCAGTTAGAAGCAGCCTGTTGAACACACTTTAATCCACTTTCTCCCCCTCTGTTCCCCTTCAGGACCTGTTGGAGGGGTCGAGGAGGTCCCCCCTTTCCAGCCGCAGGTCTACACCTATGTGTGTGACGTGGGGAAGCGTGAGCAGGTGTACGCCACAGCTGACAAGGTGCGTCGAGACGTGGGAAACGTGGACATACTGATCAACAACGCCGGCGTGGTCTCCGGACACCACCTCCTGGAGTGCCCTGATGAACTGATCGAGCGCACCATGGTGGTCAACTGCCACGCACACTTCTGGGTGAGCAAGATCGAGCATTTTCTTTCAAGATTCAAGGCTTCTATTACAAGTAATTGGAATATTGATATATATAAGTTGCAAACAGATGAATGTTGTGGATGTTCTTTCAAAAGTTCAGGTGTTTCACAGTCTTATGGCCTGTGGGATGAAACTGTCCCAGCACACTTCACTGAAAAGAGGCAAAAAAAGCATGTTAATATGTGGATTTAGAGTGAGGGTTGATCTAGCTGCAGTTTTCATGAGCATCATCAAATGAGATGCCACACTAATGTTTCCATTCATAAAACTGAAGACTCTAAGGTGTTCCAGACATTATTAAGAAGCCTTCCCTTGCTTTGAATCTAGTTTCATTCTGTCAGAGGAAAGTCATGAGTGTGTCTTTTTTAAAGTCTGGCATCGTGCAGACACAGATCCCCGAGGTATGTCAGCCCGTGGAGATGTGCACAGATCTAACCTGCGTGATGGAGGTTGTGTGCGTGGGATGGATCTGTGTCAGCCACATTTTGTTGGCAGTGATTTGTTGTGTATCAGGTTCTGCTCTCTGGCTCTCGTTCAGTGTGAATACTTATCTGAGAGGCTACGTGGACTTGATGGAGTGAATGTGTTGCACTTTAGATAAGCATGTGCTGCAGTGTTAGTGCTATCAGAGGTGTTTTTAAAGGGTGTGGGAAGACTCTGAGCTCCATGGACTCCATTGAGAAGCCTTACTGATGGGAATTGATTGCTTAGCATTGAAGCACCTCACATCATTGATTGCTTTACTCTGCTGCAGCCACCTCTGTCGGACACTTATTGTGATTGGGCACAAATTGCAAATGTGGGTCTGTAGTGTCCATCTTTGTATTTGTGACGATATGAGCTACGTGTGTCCTGAAACAGATTGTCTAAGGCTATGATTTGAAGCTCCCTAATTGAGCGTGAGTGTCAGGCAGGCAAGCAGGTTGTGTATTTCCTCCATTCAGCCTTTCATGCACCTCTCTACTGGCTATCTCCACGTTCTTTCACAGCCACGACTGGGAGTCAGGATCCAGTGGCAGATTTTGAATTTTTTAATGGGGGTCTGTGTTTGTGTTCTCCCATATTCTGTGGAGACCAGAGCGTGGTTTCTTTAAGAGGTCGGGAGTTGGGGGGGTGGCAGATGAAAGGAGGACTTAATGAATGGCGACGGGCAGAATAGAGGATGTGGTTCATTAAAGACACAAGCTGGATGAATAGAGCTTAGACTAACAGGGACCTGTCCACTTTCCTCCCTTACACAAACACAGTACAGTTACTCAGTGCATTCAGGTGGCACGTTACTCAAACCTTTTGATTCAGCTCCTCAACAAGAGGCTTTTAAAAGGGCTTAATTGTGGTTTATGACTCAACTAATACCCCCAGTTTAGAGCCAAGTCATACAAAGTTTGAAGTGTTTATTTAGGTGCACGCTGACAATGAAGAGATATGATAAAAGAAGGCAAAGGTTGAGATGAATTCAAAGAGTCTTTATACTTCCTTTGTCTTCTTCTCAGTTATCTTTTCATGCGTCATTGAAGAGGTCTTTTCTTATTCAACGAGACATCAGAGTGGCGATGTCAACCCCCAAAACTGCTCAGCTTTCCTTAGAGACAATTATTAAACTTTCCCACCCAGTTTCTCAAGAGCAAAACAAGACAAGATTTTGTGAAAGTTTACATTTGGTGGATAGTGTAGTAAAGGCATAGATGTGATTAGAGGTGTGTGTGTGCAGACCCCTCACTACTTCTCTGACTCCTCCCAACCTGATTTTTGGAGGCAATGGGTGCAGCTGCATGCCAGCTCTACACACACACATGTATATACACACAAGGACACACACACACAAGGACACACAGCTATGACTCAGTCCCTCTCTTCTTTTGGCTTTTAATGAGACGGGGTCATAACATTTAATTAGTTTGATGATGCTTTGATTAGTCCAGCTGGTGTTGTTCTTTTTCTAGGACGGGGAATGTGCCTCAGTGTCACCACAGTTTGTGTTTGAGGATTAGAGCGTGTGTGTATTTAGGGGAATGACATGAAAGGGAATCATCCCGTGCATCTTGAGCTGGTTACCCAACAGGTGGTTTTTGGTCACAATGAGCAGCAGCTTCCTCTCTCTGGGTTACATGAGAGCAGCGAGCGCTCCACAGTGACATGGCGGGAAAAGAGCAGAGGAAAAGAGGAAGGAAGGCAGTGGCTTCCCATCCACAGAGAGGCGAGAGGGTAATGGTAAGCTGCTGCTGACCCACTTTATCTGACAATTGCTTTCTTGTCTGCGGATCAGTTTGACAAGATGCCAGGCGACAGGAGCCAAGTTCTGCAGGCCGCATTCCTGCTGGAGCTGGAGAAAGGAGGCAGCCAGGCAGAAGGGTCCTACTTCACTGGTTTTATATGCCCCCCCCCCTCCGTTAGATTGGTGCACCTGTAGCCCTTGATACAGCGGGGACATGTTGGGTTTCTCCTGTACCTGTTCACATCTCAGGGAGGGGATAAAGGGGTAAAGAGAAGTCAGTTATTCCATCGCTTAGACGTGGATATCTTTAGAAAAGTTGGCAAGATTTTGATTGGTTTAATCATTCTGAACTTCCTTTAGTACATTCACACGTGGCTTTTATATCCTCAGAGCTATTGTTTCAAGAACATATCTTAAACGTGTGCGTTCAAATCAGAGAAAGACTTAATTTATGTTAAAACCCTTCAGAGAATTCTGACCGTAGCCTTTAAAGTTTTCTATCATATTAAAGTGAACATATTTGAGTTTGGGGACAAAATTCAGAGACTTTTAAAGACATATCTTGGACTTTGAGCATCTAGGGTGAACATCTTTCACTATTTTCAGAAGTTTTATGGACCAGTTGATTGATTTGAAGTTGGAAAACCATAGTTAGTTGGACCCAAATGTACAGAAGCTCAGTGTGAAGCAGTTACTTGAGTTGTTGGGTGCATGCAGTTCATTGACACTTCCTCCGCTGAGGCTTATGACCAGCATGGCCACCACAACAGGACCACTCTGCATCCATCCTCCTGTAAACGCAACCCACTCAAATTCCTCGATGTGTTTTCGGATCAGACGAGCTCAGGCGTTTTCTCCCTCTCGTCCGGGGAGAAGTCAGCCCAATTAAATGGCCATCTGGTGCTACGAAAAGGCCAATATTTTGTTCATATTCCTGTTGGTCAGGCGCTCACACTAATGCAGCCTGACACCCCAGCTGCAAGAAGCTTTGTGTGGCTTAAATGCTCCTGGGGGCACGCACCAATTAGGGGTTGCAGCGGGCAGAAGCACCCACACATAGGGCAAGGAGGCCCGGCTGTGTCAGCGGGTAATTTAGCGGAACAAGGGAGCGTTGAGACCCAATTACGGCCGCTCTGATGTAAGACACGAGCGCCTGGTTGCCTTCACACATTTTGTGTCTGAGAGGTCAGCGGGGGTCATACCCACATGCCAGAGCTGCCATGAGAAGCGGGACATCAGAGGAGGGTGGGAGCGTTTCACCATCTTCCTTCCCTCCATCATTCCCAGTTATTTTTAGCCCCAAATCAGCAGAATTGTCCAGTTGTATCTTGACTGTTGGCTCTGGCCGCGCAGCGCTGTGCCAGATCGAGTCATTCCCCGCTCTCTGAGTTTCTGTGGGAGTGGGAAACTTTGGCTGCAGTCATTTATATAAATATACGGGCATATCTGAAGTTAATGCTTCGTTTGCATGCAACATCCAGAGAACCTTCCTCAGCTTCTGCCCCAGGTTCTCCTCTCTTTGGGCCTCTCAGACTTAAGTACGTTTTACAAAATGTATTTCCTGAAAAAGTACAGATGTTTGGATCCGAGTCAGATCAGTTATACTGTAGCTTGCAGTAGAAAAGCGGTGAAGTCATCGTGCTCCGTTTCTCTGCGTAGATCTGACGTACTCCGGTTCAATTCAGATGCAGAGAGGAAGGAGTCAGTCGGTCCGATGCAGTTAATCTCTGGTTGCAGTTTTAATGAGGCTGTTCCTCCCTGCCAGTGGTTTCATGGCTGTACTACCTGGTACCATGCTCCACATGTTTACTGAATCATTTCTCTGGCCGGGCCTGCACACTGTACAACCAATGAAACTGTTATATGACCACACAATTATTGGAAACTAGGAATAAAACTGTCAAAGGTAATAACTAATGTTCACCTCAATTTTCCAGAACCCAAAGTGATGTGCATAAAAACTCACAATCTGTAGACGTTTACATATTGGTATTATTTCGAGCTGTAATGGTTCAGTTGATGATATTAAAGCCACATTTTCATGCAGAGAAAGCAGTTTCTAGCATCCCATGTTTCACATCTCCTGTCTTTGTGATTAAATCAGTGACATTAGAAAGGGTGTTGCAGGCTTCAAGCGTTGTTCATCACGACGGCAGCACACATCTGACCTGAATAGATGTCGCAGTGCGAGCAACAAAAGGCCTGCTGTTTGTTTGTGGACCTCCTGCGGGGAGAGTGATTGGTCAGTTCCTGTCGTTGCCGTCACATGTCACACCTGCTGATTGGCTCATGCGGAGTCCAAAGTCAGCAGACGGGCAGAATGAGGACTGGATCTGTAAGTTAATCAAGCGATAAGTCTCTGAATCTGCTCTGCTGGGCGGCTCCTCTCACCTCTCACGTGGATGAAGCCCTTTCATCTCTCAGCGCTCATCTGGCTGCCGATTGGTCCGCTGCTGATTGTGCTGAGAGACCAGAGGCTGGGTTTTATTGTTGTTGAGTGAACGGAGGCCTGTGATCGGCGTTGTCACCAAGTCTTTAGAGCCGGGCTCACCAGATCTGTGTGGGAAAAGAACAGATTGTACAGCAGCGAGCGTGCGTGCACACACACACACACACACACACACACACACACACACACACACACACACACACACACACACACACACACAGTGGATACCTGCAGAAAGGAAAACCCTCACACTTCCTTCAACATCCAATTCACACCTAGCACAAAGGAGAAAAGCTTTCAACTTCTTACATCCGCCAACAGGTTGCGTTTCGGTTCAGTTTGTCTGCAGGATTACAGAAAAAAATGTAGGCTTGATATTCTTTTAACTTTGTGGAAGAGTGCAGCGTTGGCTAAGTTAGACCCTGGTTGATTTGGGAGTTTATCTGAATCACAGGGCAGATAAACGCATTAGTTTTACTTTGGTTAACATTAGCTGGAAAGGGCATTTGTCCTGCATTCATGGGGTGTAAGAACAATAGGCAAGATAAGGGAAAGTTTACATGAAAAACAACTCAGAAACTGGTCTGAGTAAGGGTGTACATAACATTTGCGAGGATCTATCAATCTAACACAAGGATCCAATAAAATGACGCAAAAGTGAAATGCCGATGCTAACAGTTTTAAGATGTGCCTTTAATTTATAATCCTCAGTTTCCTCAATTCAATCCAAATGTACCTCCTCAATACAGATGTGTTATTCCACTTGTCAAATCAAATTGTAGTTGTGTTGATACAAACCTAACTGAGTTAGGTTGATTGCCTGAATTTCGGCAGAGTCAGAGATATCAGCAAGTATTCTAACATTGTCCGAAAACCCCGACTATAAAATCATATTGTGATGAAACTTTTACGACCCTGCTGCTCTGTCGGATTATATTTTTTTTGTGCATGTTATGAATTCTCATTCAGACGCGTCTCTGTGCATCACCATGGAGAAGAGGGGGAATAAGAGGGGGAATAAGAGGGGATCAAAGGGCTTTGGCACAGACAAACTAACCTTCCTCTCCCTTCTGTCTCCCTCAGACCACCAAGGCGTTCCTCCCCAAGATGCTGGAGCTGAATCACGGCCACATTGTGACGGTTGCCAGCTCCCTGGGTTTATTCAGCACAGCTGGAGTGGAGGTTAGTATCATACACAACAACCACACACACACACACACACACACACACACACACACACACACACACACACACACACACACACACACATCCTGGCGTTCCCACCATCCAAAAACCAGAGCTTTTTCTGCAGAGCGAGGTCAGGCCCCCTTTCTCTAAGTTGTCCCCCACCCGTTAAATTAAGGGACACAGATGAGCATTGGGGAGCCTCTTATAGATTTCAATCTGCAGCAGTGGGGGGGTGTGGGGCCCCTATTGGGCTCTGACAGCTCCCGAGGCAGCGAGACATCTTCATCACGGCTTTGTGAACAACGCTCAGTATTCAGCTCACAGCAGCGCCCGGAGGATAGTGTTTCCCTTCCTATAGTGTCCCCCTCCTGCTTGTTATTGTAATGCATATTAAAATATTAAGTGGAGTCATTTATCTCCATAAACGCAGTAAATTGTGGTTTTTCTTTGGAGATCTCAGTGTCATTTTCAGACGGCCTACAGGGACCGCGTTTGTTTTCATAGCTGCGCCTTTTGCTTTCCTTGTACGAACCATTCCTCCATAATGATTAAGTCTGCCTTCAAAGGGACTTGGTCAGTTTTTCTGCAGCTATTATACTTCCTGGAAATGCCTCGGCTGTGTTTTCAGACATTAATTTCAGGGAACTAAAGCCTCGTGTGTCATGCGGGCACAGTCAAATCTCTTTATCCTCCCCGCGTTTATCGACATGCATCTGTGTTTGCCTTAGAAAAAAAGATTATGTCCACGCCGGCGGACCACATCAAAACCTTCCAGCAGTCTCCTGATGCAGCGGGGAAGAATGCTAATGAAACTGTAGCTCGCTGTATCATTAACAGCACAGAAAGGCCCGGGGCATGTCTGATAATGTTCTGCCTGGCCTAACCTGTTCTCTCTCTCCTCCCTCAGGATTACTGCGCCAGTAAGTTCGGTGCCATCGGGTTCCACGAGTCGCTCAGCCATGAGATAAAAGCCTCAGAGAAGGAGGGCATCAACATGACTCTGGTTTGTCCTTACCTGGTGGCCACGGGAATGTTCAAAGGCTGCCGGATAAGGTCAGCCTCCTCACACACGTCTCACTTTTAACTCTGCATCTGGCTTCAGTTTCTCCAATCGTCACCACGTAAAGTCGCCTCCTCGCAAACACCTTCTTTAGAGTTCAAGGCAGCAGAGATTGTTTTTTAAGAGTCACTTGTACAAGTCTGCTTAAACAAAGACATTCCCAGGAGATACTTTACTAACAGGTGCACCTCCCCCCCCCTCGTTCTGCTGTAATAGTCCCCACTTTGTTTAATGGTTACAGTCAGCAGGTGGCTTCACTGTGCCTCAACATTTCACAGCCTTTTTAACCAGTATCACTACATTTAAGGATAACAACATAAAGCCAAAGCCCTTTGCACTCCAGTTTCTGAATCATTTCAATCAAATCTAACTTTCTTTCCTACAAAAATGCAACTCTGTCAGCTTCACAATAACAAAGTGCACAAAGAAAGTGAAAACATTCGCTAAAGCAATATCTCGCTATGTTAAAGATGTTAAAACTTGATAAGTGCATCTCCTTCCTTAATCCAGATCTGCCTCAAAATGCATTATGTTATTCTTTGGCTTGTGCTACACACTCTCTCTTAGTTTCATGACAATCTTGCAAGTCGTTTTTCCGTAATCCTGCAAACAAACAACAAATTAAGCCAAAAACGTCCCGAGTTACAAACACAATTCTAAGGACCAGAGAGCAGAAAACAGACACACTACATGTTGAGTTTCGTGACTTTTTGAGCCTGTAAATGACAGATGTTCTGCCCACAGGAAGGAGATTGAGCCTTTCCTCCCCCCCCTGAAGCCAGAGTTCTGTGTGAAGCAGTCGATGAGGGCCATCCTCACCGACCAGCCCATGATCTGCACGCCTCGCATCGTCTATATGGTCAACTTCATGAAAAGGTGAGCTTCGGTATAAAGTTCATGAACATTGAGCAGTGAGAAGGTTTCAATGTATTCTGTTCTCTTATTGCAAAGGGTTACTTCTCCCTGTAACTGGTGAAATGTTCTCAACTGTCTTCTCAATAAAGAATTGTAATTACAAAATAACACAAGGTAAGCTTCCTCCGACACTGTAATAATACGTTTATTTAGTATAGCACCTTTCACAGAAATAGAATTCACAAGAAGGAACACAAGTTCAAATGAAGACCACAGAATTTAATAAGGCAGAAATTAAGGTTAAAACAAAAACACAGACCACGTAGAGTCGCGAAAGGAACACATATCACACACATCTTAAAGTGGACCTATCATGCTATATTTGAATAATATAGTGTAGGACCACCTATAAGGCATATTTATACTTTTTATTTTTCAAAATACCAAACAGATCATGCATTTTAGCCATTCCTCATTTCGCTCAATTTAACACTGTCTTTGCATCATGGGCTGATTCTGTGAGAACAGCACCATCTACAGGCCTGGCATATGTACTACAGCGTCTCCAGCGCTTTCCAACGGCAATGTCCGTGGCTGTCTCCTCCTGATTGGTGGAGTTGGCCCAATAGCCGTAGCACCACTTCTGTGACATCACAGAAGTGTTCAAATCTGGATCAGTCTGTATCAGATCGGTTGCAGCCCCTTTTTAAGAGATTTGGGTATGGAGGAAAATAGAGAGGGTTGTGTTTTCTGACACTTGGTGAGTTCCCTGGAACACCGGGGACACATATTCATGTAGAAAAGATGTACAAAATTGCATTTTGCATGATAGGACCCCTTTAAGTAGAAACAAAAGCCAATGTAAAAAGATAGGTCTTCAGTTGTTTTTTGAAAAGCTTCTTCAGCAGGGGTGTCAAATCCGGCCCGCGACTTCATTTCATGTGGCCCCACAAGAGCAAAGAATATAATATGTTTATTATACGGTTACATGCCGCTTTAGAGAAGCACATTGCCCATAAACTACATGTCCCACAATGCATCTCAAATATGACTTTTTTCCTAGAATTTGA